CGACATTGTCTATGGCCCTTGTCTCGATCTAGCAACATCGACACGAATACAAAAACTCCAAAACTCCTGTATAGGTACGTTTAATCTTTGGCATCAAAAGTAAAATACATGTTACTCCTTTCATTACTGAAATTAAATGGCTCAAAATGTATAACAGACGACAACTCCATCAGTTATGGTCGTTGCATAAACTAATCCTCATAAATACTCCTTCTTATCTGATGAAAATACACAACAGACATCTGCGGATCACCGATACTCTGACTGTTCCAAAACACTCTTCCACGCTGTATGAACGATCATTCTCATATCAAGCCGCCAAATTATACAACAGTTACAGTGATTATATGAAACTTGAGTCTCTGACATCCTTCAAAATTAAGCTCAAGGACATCATTTTCGGCAGGCAGTGATTCATTCATGGTCCATGATCTCTTCTCTCCAAGCCACAAAAACGGTTATCATTATTGTTACTATTGTCACTATTGCTATCGTTAGTATTGTTCATTATCATTATTATTATCATTATTGGTAATACTGCTATTACTACAGGTATTTTTATTACCATTATTGCGTTATGTATACAAGAATGTACTTGATATTTTTAACCTGGTTGAGTGGAAGAGTAGCCTTGCTAAACTCCGCCAGGATAAATGAAGGCAATTTATTATTATTATTATTATATTGCAGATCGAACGTGTTCTCTTTAAGAATAAGTTATATTCTTGAAATAAATTCAACAAAATGTGAAATTCTTTCGTGAACACATAAAACTTTTTCCAAAAATATTTAGCAACTTTTTGAAAACGCACATTTTGGAAGAATCGCCTTTTATATTCCGGAAACGGTGAAAACAATTATCAATAGGCATGAGCAGCGATTTATCGCACCCTTCTAGCATAACCAGTTTGACAACTATTTGTCGTTTGTTCAAAAATAAAAATGGACTAATCAGAATTGGAAGACAGCTAGTGTTTTCGAGGCAATAGAAGTTGTATTTGGATTGTTTGGTCATATTATGTAAGATTTTTAGAATGAGCGAAATAGTCAGTGAATCGACATTTGACCATTCGACACTTGAACCTATATAGGCCAATTGTTTGATTTTTTTCTATCAGTTCACTGCTAACGGCAGCTGTTCATCGGAGGCACATGGGCGTGAGCCTATTGCTGAATTTGTTACTGAAGATCGAACTTTGATTCATTGGAATTTGAAAAAAAAAAAATTGATGTGTACTTTATCAAATACAAATCGAATGTTGAAAGGGTCGCCCCTGATTCCAGACAGTTGTTAGACTTCGAAAAATCAAAAACCTGGAATATGAGAGAGACTCCATTAAATTTATACAATTCGATAATATTCAGATTCACCCTTTGAACACTACAATGTAATCATTCATAAAGGGAAATCTCATCATACTAGAATATTATAGTTGGTAATCATATAAGATGAACCCCCTAGAAATATTAAATTCAATTATTCAGAGCTCAGTGTGGAGAAGAAATATCAGCATAAATATATATGTATGGGTACTTTTATTTGATGTAGTTAGTCAGAAGATTCATGAATCCTGCACCTATAGAGCGATTCAAAGTAATTTAAGTAGTTTCCAAAAAGAGCGCAAAACATCAGCTTAAAAAGATGATTTCGAGTTCAAATTGAGGATTACACACATTTTTCAGGCAATACGACATTGTATGAAAATATATTCGAAGATTATAGGGAAATAAATGGGGTAACATTCTAGGGTGACACAGGGTATCGGGCCACCCCTGTAACTTCTGCTTTCGTCATCGGATTTCTCTGAAATTCGGTACAGTTATATAAGCAATTATTTCGGATTTGATCACATTACAATCCAATATGGCGGACTTCCAGTATTTCTGCAAATGCCTGCAACTTTGTTTTTTCAAATGAAACACCCTGTATATTTTTACATATTCAAGTTCAACAGGTCGTAACAAGTGCAATCTTTATTTCAAATGTCATTTTTTCGAAAAAAATTAAATTAAAACCGTTTTTTCATTTTACCTCGTGTATAAATGAGATGTGTTCAAGACTTTTCACAATGAGTCACACATAACAGAAGAACATAATTTTTTCTGAAAAATTATTTTTTGTGTCACTTATCCAGGAATCAATTCAGCCACATCACTTTTTGATCAGAAATAATTTTTTTTCAAATGGAACCCCTATGGGCCACCTACCTGTTTCTCTAGAACATACATTGAGGAACAAAATGAAATATCATTTTTGTTTTTCGGTGCAGTAACAAATTGTATACATTCAAAAATCAACAACTAGTTTATGAATATCCTTGCAGTTAGAATAATTTTTCAACTAGGTAGGCTGTGGCATAAATGACATTTGACATCAAGATTGCACTTGTTTTGACCTGTTGAACTTGAATATGTAAAAATATACAGGGTGTTCCATTTGAAAAAACAAAATTGCTGGCATTTCCAGAAAAACCGGAAGTCCGCCATATTGGATTGTAATGTGATCAAATCCAGAATAGTTTCTTATATAACTGCACCCAATTTCAGAAAAATCCGTTGACGAATGCAGAAGTTACAGGGGTGGCCCGATAGCCTGTGTCACCCGGTATATAAAAAAACTGGTTATCCAATGATGATAAATGTCATGATGACTGGTTTGATGATGGTTCATAACAGGCTTGGGTTGGTGGTCAGCCTCAAGAAACATGCACCCATTTTCTGACGACCGCTTCAAGTTCTGGACCAAAGGATATGAATGATACAGCTAGTGAGCATTAGCCCAGGACAAATCCATGTCGGCAGCCAGGGGAGAAGAGCAATCAGGTTCATCACTGTCCAGTGAATCCAGCAAAAAAAACCTATGGATGAGCACTGGCGTATAACTACCATGTATGCAAAAACAAATTTCACAGAAGAGATTTTGAGATATTACTCACCTCTGGTCGTCAGAGGGTTAGCCTAGAATACTTGAATACGTTAGTGAAGTGGAATCGTGCTGGTGGACCATATGAGCTTCCTCTTTCTTCAGGTGCCGTCTTCTACATCGTGGCCAAGATAACCGCCAACCATGTAGCGCCGAAATCTTCAGTTAGGCATTTTTTCAGAGAAATAATGTGAAGATGCCACAGTCCTCTGACTTTGCATACTCGATAGATTTTATTATTAATAAAATCTCTCAATGGAATATTTGTGACTCGTAAAGAAAATCTAGATATCTGCCGAACTCACCATTCTTGTCCACCTTGATAAACGGAAATAGAAATGTCGTTGAAGTCTTGAAAAATTGACAATTTTTCTCAACCTTGGAACTGACATGAAACACAGATTTTTTGGCATGGAAATCAAGGAATCCATAGTTTTGACAAAAGTCATCGGCAGCCAACAGCATCAGTCCGTGAAAGATACTGTGGTTAAATCTGTCAATTAGTAGACGTGATGACCTCGGGTTGTGGCTAGAGAAATAACATATTATTACCATTTGGGACTCACGATTGAAAAGTCAGAGAAAATTACATATCTTGCAGGCGAAATTTGGAGAAGAAGAATCAAGGTCCTTTGACATTGAGGATACATAACCCTACTATTTTGAACTAGTAAACATTGGATAACCACCTATCGTAATAGAAATTTTAAAAGAATAATATCTCTTCCATGAAGTCGAAACCCATTGAATATACCCTATGTACATCTGAGATGTATTTGTAGAGTATCTACTTGGCCTTCCTTGTTAAATTTTCATACTGGCTGAGAACCAATAACCAACGACGTTTTCCTAGGATGTGATTATAGAACAACATGTTAGTTTCTACCTACTTGGTGAGTTGATATTAATTTATTATTGTTAACGTGATGCCCGTTTATTCTTTTCAGGACACCAATATGTCTTAGGAATGGAATTCAGACCGAGGAAATGTGTTTTATAATTCAATAGTGTACCAAACTCTGTTGTGAATAAATAATAAAATGAATTGCTTAGAAATTCACTGAGTTAAATGAACTGAGTAAAAAATCAAGCTCACTGATGTAACGTTTGGTGAGTAAGGTATAAGAGTAATAATTGAAAACAATGTGGCCTGCAGGAAGTCACAGCATACAGAGAAGTGCACAAAAAACGGCCAGGAGTGTAACTTTTCAAATATTCGAGATAGGGTTTTGAAAACTGGTGGTAGTATATCAAATTGCTAATTAATTGATGAAACAATTTTTCTTTCATCATTTTCAGTTTCACCAGAAATGACCCCAACTTTTGATTTTCAAATGGGACACCCGACACCCCCCATATTGTATTCCATAATCGGATAGGGATTATCATGCCGAATTAAACGATACCGAGTGTGATAGGGTTATTTCAAACAATAACAAAAATCTTTGCCTTCGAAGTTTCCATAAGCTCAATGGGTGTGACTTCCCAATATCAAAACTTCTTCCTCTGTCAAACTCATTGAGCATATGGAAACTTAGAACGCGAATATCTGCGTAATCGATGAATTTGTTATGACTATCCCTAATCGATTATGGAATACAATACAGGGTGTCCCATTCGAGAATCAAGAGTTGGGGTCGTTTCCCGTAAAACCGACAGTGATAGAACGAAAATTGTTTCGTCAATGAATAAGTAATTTGGTATACTAACTGCTCACCAATTTTCAAAACTCTATCTCGAATAATTTGAAAGTTACAGTCCTGGCCGTTTTCTATGCACTTCTCTGTATTTATTTTTCCAATAATTGAAAGAAGATTTGAAAGTTGGCATCAACAACTTTATGTGACATTCCTGATAGGATTACCTAGCGAGTTCGAAATAAAGCATCGAAGATATTATTGTTGTGAAAGTTTAATTAATCCAGATCTGGTACATTTAATATGAATTTTGTTTGATTGGGCGCGTACAGTGAGTATCATCGCTAATTACAATGCATTCCGCCACTACAGTGAGCGTGAGATGAGTATCCGTGAGCTCTGCAGCACTCGTCCTTTTCAGCGTTGATCCTGCTGCAGACCTGGTCACATGGTCCTACGCGGACTGATGCCTCAGTGGTGCTGATCACCATTGCGAAAGCAACTATTAGAAGGATGACGGTTGCCTTGTTGAAAAGAGCCATTGTTGAACTGAAACAAAAATTCAATATGTAATAATGAGCACCAATCATTAGAAATAAAATTGTTATGTTTGGTCTTGAGAAATATATAATAAATTATTTTATGCACTAGCGTGCCGTAAAGTGCACTTTACCGCCCGGTTCTGCGGGCGTTAAGTTACACTTTACCTACCGCGGGCTCATTATGGCTCGCGGGCCGTAAAAAGCAGTTTACCGCCAACTGTTCTCTGTTTTCTTATATCCACATATCAATTCATGAAAAACCTATAATCATTTTCCTAGATTCTATTATATCCAGCGGTATATCATAAACTTCTTCTTTATCCGATTCAGAATTTATGGTACGGTGCTCTGAGACACCTTGTATAATGAATTTTATAACCAGGATCAATTCATACAACTAAGTTATTATTGAAATATAGATAGAGTTATAACTTTGAACATATGTTGAAAACCTTTGATATCTTTCGATGACAATGTGCTGTTTCTCTGATTTGTTCAAATTGTTTTGGATTTATTAATGGAATCAGTTGTCTACAAACAGAATTGATACTAGCACTCGAAACTTCCTGAAAACCCACATTTCCTTTCTCGAACTAACTTTGTGATAACATAGAATTTTAAAAGCTCTCTCTGCTCAGAATGAAATGCAAATTGGTTTATTGTAAAATGTTGTATATTGTGAAATGAGGGCGGCTCACCCTACAAAGACGAATTCTTCGAACTCATGTAAGGATTCATATAGCATCAAAATGAATGAATTCAATAGAATATATTCATCAGTTCGTGGCAATAACAAGATAATCATTAGATAGGTTTCGTTAATGCCAATGAACGATTTCGAACAGTATGTATATATTATCTAAGTATAACAACGTACCTTTTATTGAATATAGATAACTTCAGAAACACTCTTAGAGAACTATAGTTGAAGTCTGAAGAATCAATGATCCTCTCACTATTTATATAAAATTCAAGACAATCATCTGTTTGTTTATAACAGGTTGGGAATTTCCAGATTTATTATGCATTAATGCATATCAACAACAATATTTGTTTTTTTTTCTATTCCTCGATATCATGAACGGACTACATAATACTGTATGTGATATGATATGATAGAATAAAATCCGCAACTTTAAAACGAAAATAAATTTGAAAAAATCCACAAGTTGGCTATTATTTCCAAAAATCAATTTTTTACATGAAAATGTTAACCACCTGTCAACCTCTCACCCTACTGATCAATCCTTCCAAATTTCATACAAGGGGTCAAGGTACACCTTGTTGTAGAGAGGTATTTCAAATCCCTTTTCCTCGATCTACTTTTTTCAAATTCGCCCGAGCCATATCCATCCGCATAAGAGCAGTCGAAAGATTCGAAATTTATTGAAACTTTTGGTGATGGAATGTACTGTTTCATTAAACCACTTGTACAATTCATTCACTTACATTCGAAATGAGTTTTCCATTCTGAATATCCGTCTACGCATATGTACAATGTGATTGTTTCATTTTACATAAACGTAGACCAAACATTCAGTATGAAAAAATCATCTCAAATGTAGGTAAATCAACTGTACACTAATACAATAAAAAACAGAATAGTATCTACCATTACCAAAAATAGATTTTGAATATTCCAACTGCTCTCATGCAAATATGGCTTCACCGATTTTGAAAAAGAGATTGTCTGTTGTAAAGATATTTGAAATACCTCTTGAACAGGTGTAACTTGTGGGGTAGGAGGTTGACACGTGGTTGAAAATTGAATGTCCGAGATATTTTTTTAATAATATATTCCTGATATGGAGATACGGATTTTATTCCATCATATAGGATTCCACACTGTATGTACATTTGTGTATGTGAGATCATTACCTGAGTGGTCACGTCATTATTTTTTTGAAGCTCTCTTAGTGGGTGCATTGTTGGTATGTACTCGTTTTTCTTGATATATTATAGAGTTGTGGGATATTATATATTTATTAATTCAGAGTGTTTGAACGAAGTCAGTCACCGGTTGTTTCTTCCATATACGGATTCATGACAAAATATTGATGATATTGAAAACAAAACTCTAGAATGGAATTAGAATAGAATAGAATAGATTTATTCACTTATGAAAATTCACTTATGAAAAATGAGATACAATAATAATAATAATGAGGTAGGTACAATAATATGAACTTATATGACTAAATTTACTAAATTACTGAATATTATGAAGAAACATGATCGAGTGAATATGAGCGAATATGAACAAGTATGAGTTGAAACATATCATTTTCTTGATACAATTACAATTACAAATTTACATTTCAACTGTTTCGTGAATAAATGCACAGAGCCCACTTAAGGCAGAGCCTTGTCTGTGGGTAGTACAAGTATTGTACTGCATTTGTTTAAATAAAAAATATATAAATAAATATAGTATGCGAAACACAAATTACAAATTATAATTTATGGCGTGTGTATTGACTACATGTTTAGACTAGAGGCACATAATTATATCTACTACAATAAATGAATAATATATTATAAAACAATAAGAAGAATCAACAAAGCTACATAAGACTATACAAAAAATGAGCATAATTTAAAAATTATACTTTATAATCGAAGGTTGCAGTGGTTTCAGAGTACATGAGGTTTTTATTATTTTCGTTGAGGTTGAAATGGTATGGTTATGAGGGGGAATTACAATCAAAACTGGTAAGTATTTTTGACGTCTATCAACTGATGTACTGATAGCCTAGGGATTTGGAATATCCATTTTCTTGCATTTTTTCTAAAATTTCCGATCATTCTGAATTCTTTCAGTTCTGGCGAAACGCTGTTATAAAGTTTTGGTCCGAGATAAGAAAAACTTCTTTGGAGCACATTTTTTGTTGGTTTAAGAACCTTTATCGAATGTGATTTATATCTTGTTGAGTACATGTGATCAATATTCCCCAGGTAAGACTTATATTTATTATATTTGTAACAGTGCAGCACGAGAGATTCTGTAATCGTTATTAAAAATAATAAAAAAAAGTTCTCCCAACTGCGCTCTGATCCACCGACCTTTGGGTTCGGAGCCATCAGCGCTTCCAACAACTGAGTTACCACCATTTCTCCGTATTACTAGATATTTTATTATTATAATTTCGAAGATTGATCTTTTTTAATTATTCCTGTTATTCAAAGAAAAAGGAATTCATCAATTCAATGTTGAGTATGTATGTTATTAGAAAAATTACCTTCAACAGGAGCATTCTGCAGAAAATAATTGATCTGTTCAGCATTGAGTATTTTTGATATTTTACTTCGGAATCCATCCTTCCCTTTTGAGAATATCCCAGACAGCACTGGATATTCATAAAATAATCTCTAAATATGCTAAAAAGGAGGAGTATATTCCGAATATTTATCGATTATTCCTATAATATATACATGCCTCTGGAACATCTAAAAGGAATATTCCAAAGTGAATAGTCGGACATATTCAGGGAATATTCAGGTATGAATCTTCCAGGAATATTCCAAACTGAATAACCTCTGTTGTATATTCATGAAATATACCCAACTGAATATTCTGTGCGGTATATTCATGAAATATTCTCAACTGAATATTCTGTGGTGTAAATTCATGAAATATTCCATGAATATTCCCATGTTTCCCAACACATAAATACCAATCCGATTTCGAACAATGCTCTCACAAGAACTTGATATGTATAACATTATTCAATTCGATTAATGGCCTAGTGGTCAAGGCGTTGCTCTGATAGTCTTGTAATTAGGAAAAACCCGAGTATAACTTACGAACAGATACCACAGTATATGAAGGAGAACCTATTCAAGCGGGTACCTGAACACCTTAAAGAGCGAGCTTTTCTGCTGTTCTATGACCAAATGGAAATCAGGGTCGACGACTTCGATTCCTGGAAGGACTTTGCCTTAGGCAGAGCCCCAAGATACTCCAGACGAAGAAAACCGAACCCTGAGATCAGAAACATAGTTCAGCAGATTAACAAACTGATGAGCATGGAAGCCAAACCTGAGGACTGCCCCAGCAACCTCTGGGAACTGGCACACCACACACACCCCAGAGAATCACTCGAGGAAAGAGCAATGAGAATACGTGAAGTCATGCAAAACCATAACACCAACAAAGACGAGATGGAAAATGCATTTATCGACATAGATAAAGATAAATGCAACGACGATTGGGATGCCATTTCTCTTTCCTCAACCACAAGAACAAGTACGTCCCCGAAACAACCAACTGCAGAAGAATTCGACAAGGAGGCAAGAACAGCGAGGTAAAGGGCAGTGGCAAAGGCCATAGAGGTCACCCCAGCCGATCCCTCACCCCCTCCATCACCCTGTTCAGAAACGGAAAGGGAAATTGTATCGGCGACGGAACGATCGCTTGCGCAGAGTGACAGTGGCAGCTCCTGCAGTTACAAGCACAATAAAAAGGTTATGGTCTCTGGAAAATTCTACTCGGAGAAAATCGAAAAGATAAAACCTTCCAAAGGACACATGAAAAAGCCAACCCTCACAAATTTTATATCGGCATACGAGTCCAGAGAGCCAGAAGAGATCCCAGCACTGCCAGAGAGGTACAGAAACTACCAGATGGACAATCAGGACACACACGACCAAAGAGTAGCCAGTAGACTACAGGCGGCAGAAGAAAATTTTCTGAATCGGGTAGCCAAAACTCCCCAGAAAAGATGGACACATCTGACCCTCCACCAAGGAGGCTAGAAAAAAGACCCAGGGACCCACACAGCGCACCAGCGGACAATACCCGCAGCAAAAAAATTAAGAACATCGAAACAGACGGCTATGTGAAACCGAGGAAGAAGAAAACCACAAAGTGGACAAGGGCATTCCAAAACCGCCCCAATACGACGACCCCCACGAACAACAGATTCGAGGTATTGCGTAGCACTGAAGAGGAAAACGCAAGCCAGTCGCTACCCCAAGACATCCCACTGCCAACAGATCAGTCCACAGATGAAGAACCTTCCACAAGTAGAACTCTGAAACCAACACAAAAAGTCAACAAAAACACCAACATAACACAAGCAAATAAAAACAAGAATCAAGGAACATCACAGAACAAACAAACAACACCCAAAAAAGGAGAGAAGCCACCGCCAATAGTTTTCGATGGAGTCCTGAAGGATAGAAGGGAAATCATACCACTCATTAAATCACTCACCACGAAACCCTTCTACTTCAAGTATGGAGGGGATTCCACCCTTCTATACACGGAGACAGTGCAGGACTTTGAGAACGTGAAACAGAAGTTGAAAGAAGACGAAGTATCCTTCTACTCTTATTCCCTTAAGAAGGACAAAACCCACGCATTCGTGCTGAGGGGCTTGGACTTTGAGCCTGAGCCCTCTGAGATCATGCAAGAAATGAAAGATGATTACAACATCATGGTCAAGGAGGTCTACAGGCTCAACACAAGGTATAGGCCTCTCTATCTGGTCGTGGTTGACCCGATTGTTACTCTCCGGTTTCTTAGTGATAAAGTAAAGGCATTATTGTCTGTTAGAATCACTTGGGAGCTGAGGAGGAACAATCGGGCAGTTACTCAGTGCAAGCGCTGTCAGCTATGGGGTCATGCCACCAGCAATTGTAATAGAGAATTCAAATGCTTAAAATGCGCAGGTGGCCACTCCACGGCTGACTGCAAACTGCCCAATCAAGAACCGGCAAAATGTGCGAACTGTGGGGAAGCCCATCCGGCCAACTACAGTTCGTGCATAAGCTATATAAGAAGATTAGATATAATCAACAAAAACAAAAGCAAACGGCCAGATAGACATGCTTATGCCCCAGCCCCGCCCCCCAGCACGAACGTGTGGGACAGAAGGAGACAAGAACGGGAGGCCAGGCAGCCCGAGC